TTTCCCTAGATGCTGGCTTGTTCTTATTCCTAGGCTGCTCTTTTGGATAAATATAATCTACCCGCTTCCTACTTACTGTGCCTGTCCCACTCCAGTCTGGCCCCTTGTTTAGCTTCCTTCCTCCAGAATTTAGTGTGGGCAAAACACTTCACCTGTTTGGCCATTTTAAAAAAGACTTTGTCTGGAAGCTTTAAAAGTAATGCCAGGAGTGATACCTGACATGGGAAATGTCACACCCCCACCCCCCTCCATATGGTGGGTTTTTTAGAGAATGAGCGAAAGTTTACAATCCAAACTTTGGGCTGCCGTAACAACAGATGAGCCTACCATCTCTATCTGTTTTCCTAAAATCAAAGCCTGGATTAAATTAACTGGCTCTGCCCATGTGATGCCACCATGGAGGTAGATACTAGAGCTTCTTAAAGTAACCATTAACCAATTAGAAATATTCTCAAGTGTAAAAGAGTACTTTGTGCAGCTAATTTAAAATTTCCCAGCCTGTGTGGCTTAACACAGGATTACATCAAAATTCTTCTTGGATCTTTATGCCATCACAGAGATGCTAAACATTAAACAACTTTCAGTCTGAGAAGATAGTTAACTTTAGTGTATATGTAAATATTTTTATTGTAGTATTTTCATTATGTATCAATTGGCATTCATAGAAGAGACATGCTCATGGTTATATGAGATGGTTGAGTAGGTTTACGATCATCTGTAAAGCTGCTGGCCTCTCTTGACTTCAGTCACAAGAAGTTCAGTGCTTAAATTTAGCAAGAGGCTTAGCAGTTCCAGCTGGAAGGTTGACTTTTGTTCTTAAAAAGTCTCCCTTTACCTTTTTGGTGCTCTAGGACAAAAAGAATTTTATTTTTTTTTCTGTCGGGGAGGAGAGTTTATCAGAGTATGTGGTATAGAGTAGCTGATTTTGATTAGGTGTTCTTAATTCATGAGAAATTTCAGTTTGCAGTTTACTTGACCAATGCAAAGCATGTCAATCAGTTTGAAAGTCTTCCATGTGCAGACCAGGCAAGTTAGAGTGCACTACTACAGCACTTTACATTTCCTAATTATTTTGTGATGTCTTTCCTCTGACCTCCTTTTGTGAACAAGCCCTCAAACTAGAAATTCTAGTAGTATCAGCCCCAGAGCAGTCTTCAAAGGAGTATGAGTAATTCTGTTAAAAAGAGCTTTTCTCCAGTTGCTGGCACTTCCTTCAAATTAATTTGATTGTTTTTTCTATGTTTTAATAAAGTTCATTTTTATTTCATATTAACAGAGCCTTCCCTTGATATGTGCAAAAGTGTGCAGCATCTTGAATTTATAGTAATCTTAATTGAAGGAAATTACATATTCTGGTACTCTGCAATTAAGATTATACTTTTAAACTAGACATTAGTACGAGATAGTACAGAGACTCTTCTGTCTATAAAACACCGCAAAAATCTACTGAAGGCAGCGATTTCTGAATAGTTGACGTGAAAATACAAAGAGCAGGGCAGAAAAAGGAGAGAATGGAAAGCTAAACAAAATTATTTAGGTAGTTCATGGACTTAATGCAGTGGTCTTCCCTAAGAAATGTTTAAGTTGAAGTCTAATACTTACTTACATTTATGGTGTTATAAATATATGCTTGTTGCTGGTTCTTTCTACTCTGTAATAGGGCAAGTGATTGACATGGTAGAATTAGACATTGTAGCAAATAATTAGGTTAAAAATACCAGTTTTAATATCTTCTTTGTTGGCTTGAGGTTGTGAAACTGTTTGGATTTTCAGGGAAATTGGCAACACTGTAGGACTGCATACAGTATTGAAAACCTAATTGCTGAAGTATTCTGTCCTAGCCTTTGATTCACAGTGTTTCTTATCTTTAACTCAGGAAATACCATGATAAATTTGCAGTCTGAGGTTAGTACCTAGTCTTTAATTGCAGCCAAATTCATTCCAAATGAGTTAATTTTTTTTTTCTTTTTTTCTTTGACTTAAAAGGTAATCACTTTATCAAATTCTTTGCCCCTTGGTGTGGTCATTGCAAGGCTTTGGCCCCAACCTGGGAACAGCTGGCTCAAGCCTTTGAGCACTCGGAAACTGTCAAGATTGGCAAGGTAGGTGAAGTGCTCTTAGTCTGAAAATGTTTTGTGTGAGGGAATGTTTCATCCAAGTGTCATGCTTTTTGTGCTGTGATTTGCAAATAACAATTCTTTTGTTTGTCACCTTTTAAATCCTTTTATAGTCATAGTTTCTATTTTAATTTTTGGATTTTTTTTTTATCTCACACATTCACAGTTGATGGGACTGCCTCGTTTTAAGCAAGGACTTGTTAGAAACACAGCAAGCTCCCTGTGTTTCAGAGAGAGCTGGGAGTAAGTCTAAAACTTTAGACGCAGAGAATAATATTTTGAAATTTGTTTTTTTATTATGCGTCCCCTTTGTCAGAAGTTCATAGACTTCAGTATTTATTTTGAGTGGGAAAGTGACTTCTAATTTGTTCTTTACAGCATTGAATTCCTTAACGAGCTTTAGACCTACAGGGCTTCTTCTGATGAATTATTTCTTGGGGGTTTTTTGTTTTGTTTTGTTTTTTCCTCTTTACCCCCATAGAACTTTCTAAAGTTTTCAGGGGGTCTTCCACCTTAAAAACTGATATCTTGTCCTGCTTTACTATTTCCCTTAGGGTTGATAACCAGGTTCTGTGGTGTATTTACCATGGGAGCTTGTTACTTGTACGTGGAGTGACTTCTGTGCAGAGGTATGGAGGTGGTCTGGCAATTGCAGTTACTGGCTTTATTTGCTGACCCATACCTAAGTCCAGGTGGCTCATGATGTGAATTCCTCTATATTTGCCAATGGTGGAAAACTGACTGAGCTCAACTTCCATGTCCTTAAGCTTTCAGATTGGTTCCACTGATCTGAAAGACTGCATAACAGCTAGCAGTGGTGTTAGTCCTGCAGAGGGACAAAACCCCAGCTGTCTCCCCTGCCTCTGCCCTCATAGCACTTTCAGCTGTTACTAGGGGTGATGAGCTTGACTTATTTTTTTGTTTTTAAATTATTTTTATTTCTAATGCTTTTGAAAAATCTGCTAATTCAGGTGTGCTGTAGATGTACAGAGCAGGTCAGGATGGCTGAACTTTAGAGAAGACATATATATATATATATATACACACACACATATATAAAATTTTGAGACTTGGTGGATATAAAATTAGATTCCCTCTGAGAATAAAATATCTGAGGCTGTTGCAGCTTTGATGCTGGTTTACTTTTTTGAGAACCTTGCTTGATGTCTGATAAAATCTTTGCTTAGCTTAAGTATCTTCTGGAAGTTGCTATTCTCTGATACTCAGAGAAAAATAAACAAAAATTTCCAAAATTTCTGTTTCATGCAGTTGTCTGTTATGTTTGCATTTACTGTTGCTGATAGTTGCTATTTAATAAAGCCACTAAGATTTGTCTTGATGCCTAGTGAATTTTAAATAACTGTATACCTTGTGAAACTACTTGAAACATGTCTTGGCTTGGATTATAAGTCTGTAAGCAAACAGGAAGCACAACTGTTTCTAAGAAGGTTGAACGATGACCTTCATTTAATCTGGGGGAATAGTGTCTTAACAATGATACCTACTGGAGGATGCTGTTTAATCTCTAGAATTGATCTTCAGTGATCTGGAGCAAAGTGTTTCTAATGTAAAATTAAAAATCCAAGTGCTGTGTTGAACAAAGGCTCTGATGCTTAAATTACCTTTTTTTTCTGCTTCAAAAAAGATTATAAACTGGTAACTTTACAGATTGGTTTATGACATGTTAGAATTGAATGTTGCTATGCACTTGGAACTTCCCTTGGAATAAAGTAAACTTGCTAGCTGTTGACATGTCTTCTGAAGTCTTTAAAGAGCAGTCTTTTAAAAATAGATGAGCCAATATATCTTCACTTTAAAGCTCTCTCACATTAGTGTTTTGTGTCTTATTATCCATGCAGTGATTTTATTCGCTGCGAATATCAAGTACTATTTAATTGAAATATTTAATTATGTCCTCATTGTTCTTTCTAACTACTACTACTTCATTCTGTCCGTACCTCCCTACCCAATCCCTCCTTAAAAAAAAAAAAAAAAAATCGAACCCCCCCGCCCCCCCTCCCCCACAATTATCCAGTTATACAAACAAATCACTGTTTGGCTGGCAGACATAATCATTCGCAAGACAGTACTTGGTACTGAGTTTTGCCAAGCTATGTATTGCTTGTTCCTGTAGTGTTCTGAGATTTTAAACGTAAAGGAAGCTATGATGCTTGTTGTATGTTTATTCTATGCACTGAATGGTTTATATTTTTTTTCAAAATGTAGGTTGACTGTACCCAGCATTATGAAGTCTGCTCTGAAACCCAAGTTCGTGGCTATCCCACACTCCTCTGGTTTAGGAATGGTGAAAAGGTGAGTCTGCAAACTCAGGAAAAGATCAGACCATTTCTTTCTGAATAGTACTTGGACTATGCTTGCATCCTGGGGAAAAAAGATCAAGTGAGCATATACGAAAGTCTGCTTGTGAGAGAAAAAATGTTGGAGGTTCCGTCGGACACTGGAAGAGGTATACTTTGTCCACAGCTAAAAATTATGAGGTTTTTTTGCTCTTTGTGCTCTGCAAATAAACTGGTATGATGTTCATAAATCTGTGAATAGTATCTCCAGTTATGCTACTGTGTGAGAGAATTCTGGGTTTACTTTATCTTAATACTTTACCTCCTATGGAACATAAAAACATAGATGAAATAGAAATAATAAAAAAGTCCATAATTTTCACAATGTGTATCAAAAAGTTCTCATCTGTAAGTGGTGCCTACCTGCTGAGTGATGCCTGAACAATGCAAATTTTCCTTCTTATAAATCTGAACACTTCATATGACACTGAGCGAGAGTCCTGTGGGCCCAGTTGACATTTTTCCTTGTAGCAATTCAAAGAATCACAATATTCTGAAGTTATGGGGAAGTAAAGTATTTCTAAATACCATGTAGATGAACAGCAGCAAATAAACATATTATAAATAGTAGTGATACTTATCATATGTTTCATACTTTGAAGATAAATTAATTGTAATAAATGGATATTAAAAATAGGTCTGCAAGCAGAGAACCAGGACTCCTCTTTCAGCTCTTACCCACCAAGTTTTAGGGGGTTTTGGGGTTTTGCCCCATTTGCCTTACATTCCTTTTTGAACATTTACAGTATCAGAGATGTAAGTTTTGCTCCTCAGTCCAGTGTACTAGCTGTTGCTTGTGGCAGTTTTTTGGCACTCTCAAGAGAAAGTGGCCGTAAGTGTAAGTGCATTTGATGTTTGGTATAAGCACCTCTATAAGATCAGACACTCCAGGGAATTTAAATGAAGCAGCACGTGGATTTTTGAATCCCAGCCTGATTCACGCAGGAAATACACAGCCTTTTTACTGTGCAAACAGCGGTACCTGGCACATATCAGAAGCAGAACTGGAAGCTGAGGGAGTCCTCCTGTCAAGCATGGTGGCATGGCCAAGATTAGAGGTGTTTTCAGTTAATTAAACTTTTGTCTCTGTGCCTTGAGTCTGCAGAACGGGAATTGTTCTCCTGTTTCTCCAGAATGGTTTTCCACCTGCTTTGTTTTTATTTTTCAGATAGCTACAGAAGGTGAGATACCTTGCCAGGACTGTACTATCTTGATCTAGAAAAGTTAGCTGTGGTTTTTCTTGACAAGCCAGATCAATTATTTTTTTTTTTTTTTGACCCTTTGTAATTCTTGAAGTTTGAGTTGCTTGGAGTTATTTGAATCAAGAGTGTGGTGAAAGAAAAAATCAGATCACTGCTATTATATTTGGTAAAGCTGAATCTCAGCTATTAGCCTGGAGAATATATTTCTGTTGACTTCAAACTGGCTTTTCTCCATTGGCCATGTGGTATTCCCTGGTGGTGTACTGCCACCAAAATCACATGTTCCTTCACGGGCTGATACAATATGTTTTAAAAAAACCCACAAAACAACCCCAACAACTTTGCAATAATCTGACCCAGAAATTCCTGGAAATCTCTCTCTGGCTGCTTTTATACTGTTCAGTAAGGTGGGAGAGGAGAATTGCTTCAGCCATCCAGCCTTGCTCTCTGTACCATAATCCCCTTTGTCATAACTGAAGTCTGGCATCACACCATCTCTCTTGGTTAGATGCAGCAGAAACCCTGGGAGGAATGAAAGGGCACTGACCCTGCCCTGCTGAAAGGGATACGTACAAGCAGGTACAGGCTTCTTACATCGTTTTAGATTAATTCCTTTGTGATTTAGACCCAGCGTGGGGAAAGTGGCTATAGTTAGATGTAACATTATCATGACAAAATAAGAAAAATGTGTAGAAAGAGTTCCAAAGATGTAGGAAATAGTTGAAGAGGTGTCTGTTCTTCCTTCCAATGTATGGAAGATTGTATGCTGTTTCTTGAAGAGCATTCCTCCTCTATGAGAGGCAATACATCTTGTAGTTCACACCTCAGGGGACCAAAACTCAAGAATTCTGTCTAAAAAGGGTATGTAGTGTCTGGAAGAGATAATCTATCTTTTGAACAGAGAAATTAGTACTGATTTTCGCAGAGAGCGCCAAGGGCAGTCACACAAGAGCTAGTTTGGAGATGGCCAACGGTGGATTTGAGACAAGAAACTGCTCAGAGGTGCTCCGATTCTTGTTCTCTAGAGTTGTGAAAGTACCTGAGCTATGGGGAAGCATCTAAGGCAAACTGTGGCTTCTCGAAGATCTAGCTGGTTGAGGGCTTTATGTGCAGGTTCAAAAATGTGACTTAACTTTCGTGAGAGTGGTGTTGTTGGAAATGCCCCGCAGCAGGGAACTGTTGTCTCTTGCTCCCAGGTGAACTTAGGTGCCCAGAGAGCATTGCCTTACTGTTTGGGTTTTCCGAGGATGTGTGATAAGTGTGTGGGCCAGAGAAGTGACTGTGTAGTCAGGTGACATGTGAGTCAAGTACTTCAGCCCTGTCAAAGCAGTGGATAGAGCTCTCATGGTAACAGAGACCAAACGGTGATGGGTATTTTGTTGTTCCTTGCAGTAGCTTTAGGTTAAAAAAAAAAACAAAACCAAAACCAAAACAAAACAAAACTTGAAAAAGCTGACTAGAGTGAGAGATGAAGGTCAAAGTGGAAAAGTTTCTAAAATTTGCTTCTACATTTCTAAACTGTTTTTCATTTCAAGGAAAATTTAGATCGTTCCTTTTTGGTACAGAAGAATCTATGGCAAATCCTGAAGAAGTGGAGTGAATGGAATGCCATGGAGAGGTTTAATGACTAGATAATCATATTTATTATGAATACGCTTGCTCTTGGCAGTCTTATGTTTTTCTGGTAATTATTTATCACAGAATCATAGAATGGTTTCGGTTGGAAGGGACCTTAAAGATCATCTAGTTCCAGCCTCCCTGCCATGGGCCGGGATACCTTCCACTAGACCACATTGCTCAGTTTTGCCAATTATTTGCTAATTATTTATTTGCTAGATTAACTGCATATACACACTTGCACAAACTATTTGATAATTGTAGGGTGACCAGTACAAAGGGAAGCGGGACTTCGATTCCTTAAAGGAATATGTGGATTCCCAACTACAGAGCTCTGGGAAAGAGCCACCAGCAGATAAACCCGCCGAAGCCCCGCAGCCACCTGCAGAACCCACGCGGGTTGAGGTAAGTGCTCCTGCACTCTGCAGTGATGTTAAAAGTGTTCAAACTGTTTCAGCAGCCTGTCTGAGTCTTCCATGTGTTTCTCTGCGATAACTTGACAGTATCTAGGTGTAAACTGTACCAAATACTTCCCTGGTCATTTTTTTTAGTAATTAATGAGTGGAATCAGACCATAAATACTAGTGACACTTTTACTAACCTGATGAATTGGAGAAGGAAAAAAAAAATCTGGCTCCTTTTTTGTGGTTGCAATAAGTTGTTTAGATAGAGTGGCATAAATGTGGTTCTTTTTGGTCTGCGGAACTGCTGGCACCTCGGTCTGTATAACAGCGTATTTCATCGCTATGGAGGTGAATGTTTCTTGCAAGATTCTCACTTGAACCCAGGACAACGGCACATGCTGCTAAGCCCCTAAGAAGAGCCCGGGTCATATACATATAGACTATCTGCAGAAACAACAAACAAGCAAAGATTACGAAGACTGATCTAAATGTGGCAAGGTAACATGTCCTGTGACAAGAAAACTCCTTGGGTTTGGAGGCTTATTCTAATCCTGGTTATAGGAGCTACAGGGGTTATGAATGTTGCCAAGGAATTAGCAGGAATAACTTTACCACCTTGCATAGTTGTACTTCATGTCATTTAGTTTTCTGTCTTTTTTTAACCACTTTGGCATTTCATCTACCATTTTTTTTTGTAGCCAAATGTAAAATCAGTCAGGTTGAGAAATTAGGGATGGTTTTCAAGCGTAGTTTTTCATGAAATGTGGAAAACCTGCTTATGCCTAGGAAATGAGGGATGGTGATTTACACTCCCTTGTGATGTAGAATGAACTTCTGTAATTAAGAAGCATCAATATTATTAATATAACTACAGTTTATATGCAGTTTCTCATAGGAGAATATTACCTTTCCCAGTTGTCTTTTCCAGCAGCATTACTCATCTTCCATAAAGTGGCTTACCAAACATTACAGACAACATAGATTTGAAATTTTCGTACCCTTCAAATTTTATTTATTTTTGTTTTTAAGTTGACCTCATATTTGGAAGATCCTAACAAGCTAGTATTAGTACAGTGCCAAAAGTAATTAGCTGTATTTCTGTTTTTCTAGAAATAACACAACCACGTGATGCAGATTCCCACTTACACCTTGCATGCACCAGCACACATACAAACGGGAAAGGATTGGGGGGGATTTTTTTGCCAAATAATAGTAGATGCAGTGTAGGACTCAACTTGTCTTTGCGACTTTACCTCACAGCTTTGGATGCCACCATTGCTTGGTCGCTCATCTTCAGACACCTTGGCTCTGGTTTTGTTTTCATGAATTTTGAAACAAGGGGCTCACCCACGTAGCCAGCAAACACTGACTGCATTTACCATCAGCAGCCCCCAGCTGGTACCACAGGCAGCAATGAGTTCTGACCCAAATTTGTGTCCCAGTGTTGAGCTCCTGTGTGGATTCCCCCATGTCTTACATGGGCCAAGTACTTGCCAGCCCTTTCACAGAACCTATACTTTTATGTCCATGAGACTTCTCTCCTGCCAGACACTGCTAAAATTACTCAAAAATGATCCAGATGGATTAAGGTAGAGTGACCAGCAGATGCTAAGGTTAGGTGATTGCATAAGATGTCTTTCATTAAGAAACCAAGCTAAAATTGAGCTATCTGATATTAAACTTACTTTTGCAGTTATATAGCTCACATTGCTATTCTGATAGTAATCTATAGATCTTTAAAATTTGTTTTACTGTGTGGATCATGGGGAAGATGTTATTTATGGGGTTTTCAGATTTGGTATCTTAGATTATAAATGATGTTTGGAACATCTATTTTAGATACCCATTTAGGAAATTCAGAATAGAAGAATACATATTTCCTGCTAATTTTTTCTTCATTTAATTATTTGTAATTATTAGCAAGTATAATTTCTAATTTCTAAATAATTCTTTAGAGGTAATACAACTTAATGAAATAATTCCATGAACTAACAGTTATACATTTAAAGGTACTGGATACTTTGTAATTTCAAGATTCTTTTTGGCTTCTCTTCACAAAACTCTTACTGGGTTTAAAGTTGAATTGGTAATACTGTCAGTTGCGCTCTTGGGTTTTGGGGTTTTTTTGCTTTCATTTGAATTTGAAGCTTTTATAGACATGAGACTTGTTTATTTTTAATCCTTCCCACCCTTAAGGGTCTTACACAAAAAACAAAGTTTGTTACAGTTCTGTGCTCTCATGTGAGACTGTCTGTAAGCAATGTGCTATCCTCCCATCACTCCCATGCCATTGCTCCTGATGTTATCAGGAGTGAAATTCTTCCTGGCATCCATGCAAGTATGATGTGGTGATGTCCTCTTGACAGGCAAATACGTGTTTCTGGTAACAGTTTCCCCTATATATGCAATGCAGGGATATAGCAGAGGGAGAATGGCTGTCAAGGCATCACTAGTATGCATTGAATACCTCACTAAACTCTCAGATGGCCATTACATGCGGATGTTCCTTTAAACATTTGCATCACAGTGTATT